AGCGGAAACATCTCCAGCCCCGAGCCCGCTAGGCAGAGAGGCGCATGCGCACCTGGCGGCGTGCGGGTACGGGGTTCGCAGACTTCTTCCGGAGGGTTGTTGCTGTGCAAAGCGTAGTTGCGCTCTTAGCAGTCAGGGCTCTGCGACAGGTTCCACGTAGAGGACCAACCGACAACTCCCAACTTTCACCGTTGGGTTGGCTTCCCCCCACCACCACTCCGGCACCTCCTTAGCGACGCCATCGGCGTAAAGCCCGCCCACTGTTGAACCCGCCGAGCCACCACTTCCGCCCTCGCCTTCCACTGAGCAAGATGGCTGAGGAACCGGAGTCCGCGTTGCAGCTACCTCCCTCAACTGCTGCTGATGGCGAAGGACCTACAGAGGTCTCCCCAGAAACAGCCACTCCGGAGCCCCCTTCTTCCGCCGCGGTCTCCCCGGGGACAGAGGAACCTGCCGGCGACACCAAGAAAAAAAGTAATTTTGAGAGCAGTTTCTTTCTAGGCAGAGGCGGGAGGTTTAGATTGCGTCCGACTAGTCCCTGGCGGCCAATAAAGGAGCAAAATTTAGAGGAGGGCTGGTGCCAGTCGTGGCTTTCGACCAGTGAGGAGAGAGGAAGTGTAGTTTTCGGCTTTCGCGACCTTTGAGTTGAGAGCCTCGCAGGGGAGCCGTCTCTGGACGCACCTTCGCGGTGTGGCGCGGGTCCTTGGCCGCCACAGTTCTTGTTAGACTGCATTCCACTCTTCCTCGGAGTTGGCCAGACTGCGGGCTCTTTGAAGGTGGGAGCTGAGTGGGATCTCGGGTGGCTCCAGGGACTTAATATGGGACGTAATTATTTGATTAATGACTTAAGGTGTTAGGGATGGTCGGTAGCAAGACTGGGTTAGAATCCACGCCTTCCGGCAAGTTCGCTGTTTCTTACATGAACTGCGTGTGAATTCACTCCTTGTACCAAAAAAAAAACCCCTGAAATTTTACCAAGTATGAAGAGTGGTAAGAGAAAACCAAAGGCATAGGTATCGCCTTCTCCGCCCTACCCCAAACCACTTGGAACCTTTATAAGCGAGTCATTTCATTGCTTGCGTTAGTCCTCAATTCATTGCTTGAGAATTGGTTCGCCATTGTAAAATACGGAAAATCCTAAGGAAGTCACTTGTCCTTGGGCATTCTGTGTATCCTCACATCAGCGATTACGATTCGGATTGGTTGACCCTAGGCCTCGGTTTTTCTCAGTACAGAGTTTTAAAGTATGGGTATGGCACTCTCTCCCTTTGAAGTCAGACCACCTCTACCTTTGGGGGGAAACTTATTCTGCCATTTCCACGTGATGCCCTAGAAGAGTAACAGAAACTTGTGATTATTTCTGTAAAGAAGCACTAGAGTCTTTCTGAAGAATTCCATGATTTTTACAGATTCTTGCTCTCTTTTTTCCCTCATTTTACTATAAGCAGAAACAGACTTTTCCAGGTTTTTTGTTGTTGAGGGTTTTTTTTGTTTGTTCGCTTTTTGGCGGGGGCGGGGATGGGGGTTGACTTTGACAGCCTTAGTCAAAAGCTTACTACTTGACCCTGAAGATAGCTGAGTAAAACAGAGGCAAAAAATTAATGGCCCATAACCCAGATACGGCCTCAGGTTATATGGCATGTTTTCTTTGGTCTGCATAGTTTTCTTTTTCCTTAAACCACCATTGAAAAATAGTATTTTCATTTTCTGGCCCTTGGGCATTTGAGTTTGCGTCTGTGATGAAAACTTAGTTTCTAGCCATTGAATTTCTTCCTTGAAGTTACTGTCCTTTCTTGAGGACCTCTTCTGATGGAAGAAGCTTCAATATTTCATATGCTCCACCTTTAGTTTAAGCTACAGAAGAATAAAGATTGCTGAAGCTGACCAAGGTTGTTGGTTCTTAGGAACTAATTAGGATTACTTGGGAGAACTTTCGACCTTACCAATGCACTACTTCCAGAAGATTCTAATGTAATTGATGTGGATACCTGTATTCTTGTAAATGTTAATTCTGATGTATAGCTATAGTTGAGAACTCTAAGCAAATCACCTTTAGAATTAAAAAAAAAAAGTTACAGCTGTAACTACAGTAAGTAACTTTCCTTCTCTAGCTTCTTGCCTTCCCGCTCTTCTCCCTCAGTGTATATATAACTCACAATATTTTCTGCCTCACTTGCTGAAATACCCAGGTCCCAAGGGATTAAGGGAGGTATGGAAGCTGAGTAAACCAAAATCATCTCTGTTATCTCCCAGTTCATTCATATTTAAATAACTGAAGTTATAATTATTAAATGGAAAAAGGAAGATAAACTTTCAGGAAGATAAATTGTATGTGTCCTGTGTTCTAGGTACCTTCATTCCAGGGGCAAACTTAAATAAATTGATTGCATTGACCTGGTGGGAATCTCAATTTTTAATACCAAAGAACGAAACAAGGAAGATGTAGTAGCATGGAGCTAACTTTAGGGGGCAGCAGTACACTATTTTGCTTTCAGTGTTACTTTTGATTGTAGATGTCTGATTTTTTTTTTTTTTTAAAGATTTTATTTATTTGGGCGCCTGGGTGGCTCAGTTGGTTAAGCGACTGCCTTCGGCTCAGGTCATGATCCTGGAGTCCC